AGGTGCACCTTAGTCTTCAAAGTGACATCTTTGATTTTCAACACTTTCAAGAGGGCTTTTGCAGCACATTTGCCCGATGTGATGCATCGTTTGATTTCTTGGGTGTTGATTGCGGATCCAGGTAAAATGAAACCCTTGACAACTTCAGTGTTTTCTCCCTTGATCATAATGTTGTTTATTGGTCCAGATGTAAGGATTTTTATTTCCTTTATGTTGAGTGTAATTCATACTGAAGGCTGTAGTCTGTGATCTTCATCAGTAAGTGCTTCAAGTCCTCTTTGCCTTCAGCAAACAAGGTTGTATCACGTCTTGATTACCTAGTGCTGCTGTAACAGAAGTACCACAAGTGGATGTGGCTTCAGCAAACAGATGTTCATTCTCTCACAGTCTAGTAGGCTAGAGGCCCAAATTCAGGGTGTCAGCTCCAGAGGAAAGCTTTCTCTCTGTCGGCTCTGGCAGAAGGTCCTTGTCATCCATCTTCCCTTGGTCTAGGAGCTTCACAGGTGCAGGGACCCCGGGTCTAAAGGGTGCGCTCTGCTCCCAGCGCTGCTTTCTTGATGGTATGAAGTCCCCATATCTCACTGCTTGCTTGTCTCTTTTATATCTCAAAAGAGATTTGTTTAAAACACAATCTAATCTTCTAGATTGAGTCCTGCCTCATTAACATAACTGCCACTAATCCTATCTCATCAACAACATAGAGATAGGATTTACAACACATAGGAAAATCACATCAGATGACAAAATGGTGGACAATCACACAATACTGGGAATCATGGCCTAGCCAAATTGATACACATATTTTTGGGGGACACAATTCAATCCATAACAAGTCATCTGCATATCACAGGTTGTTAATAAGTCTTCCACTAATCCTGATGCCACATTCTTGTTCATATAGCCCAGTTTCTCAGATTATTTGCTCAGTCTGGTCGGTTGGCCAGGCAGCTGTCTTCCAAATTTCTTGGCATAGACGAGTGAGGGCTTGCAGCGTTCCATCCGTTGGTTGAAACATCTCAATTGTTATCCCATCAATTCCTGGAAACTTGTTTTTCACCAATGCCTATTATGCAATAGTTTGTTCTTTTTTATTGCTGAGGGGTATTCCATAGTGTGCATGTACAACAGTTTGTTTAACCATTTACCTGTTGTCTTAGGCTGGGTTCTCTAGAGAAGCAAAACCAGTGAAGCGTGTATATATGTATATAGAGAGAGAGATTTATATTGAGAAAATGGCTCACGTGGTTGTAGAGGCTGGAAAGTCCCAAGTCTGTGAGTCAGGCTGGAGGCTTCTCCTGACTCACAAAGCTGCAGGGGTTGACGAACCCAAGATTGACAGGTCAGATGGCAGCCTCTGGCTCATAGGCTGCAGAAGCTGATGAATCCCAAGACTGGCAAGTAACTTGCTAGCTCAATGTCAGATGATGAGTCAGATGCAGGATCCAGAGTGAGAAAAAGCCAGAGAGCTTTGCCGGAAAGTCCACATATACTGGATGCAGGCAACACCCCCAAGGAAACTCCCTTTCAGCTGATTGGCTGCTCATAGAAGATCTCATCATAGTACAGGCTCCTGTCCACTCTGTAGTGCTGATCTCTGTCCACTCTATGGTGCAGCCTCCTGTCCACTCTATAGTACAGCCTCCTGTCCACTCTATAGTGCAGCACCCAGTCCACTCTATAGTGCATGGCCCTGTCCACTCTATAGTACAGCCTCCTGTCCACTCTGTGGTGCAGCCTCCTGTCCACTCTATAGTGCAGCCTCCTGTCCACTCTATAGTGCATGGCCCTGTCCACTCTATAGTACAGCCTCCTGTCCACTCTATGGTGCAGCCTCCTGTCCACTCTATGGTGCAGCCTCCTGTCCACTCTATAGTGCATGGCCCTGTCCACTCTATAGTACAGCCTCCTGTCCACTCTGTGGTGCAGCCTCCTGTCCACTCTATAGTGCATGGCCCTGTCCACTCTATCGTGCAGCCTCCTGTCCACTCTATGGTGCAGCCTCCTGTCCACTCTATAGTGCAAACCCCTGTCCACTCTATAGTGCCACTTCCTGTCCTCACTATAGTGCATGGCCCTGTCCACTCTATGGAGCAAACCCTTGTCCACTCTATAATATAGACCCCTGGCCACTCTGTAGTGCAGTCCCTTGCTGTTGTTCTAACAATCATTGGCAGGTGGACCCAGGGTGACCCCGGCTCAGCCTTGGGAAGGAGGGATGGGCAATCCCCCCAGTGCCCCAAAGCGAACGAGGGAGGGCAGGCGGATGCCGGCGAGTTCCTGGTTTGGTGGACGGAGGCTGAGCGGGTTCTGCTCTGGGACATCCCTTTTCTCTCTGAAGAAGGAGGTGAGACTCAGGTAAACTGCATGTCTGAAGAGAATGGAGACCCAAAGCAATTGCTAAGGGCCCTCTGCGCACTTACGGCGGGCCTTTCCTTGTATTATCTCATTTAATACTCGGGGAGTACTTTCATACTCTGTGAAGTGTGCAACATTTCACGGGCGCGGAGACTGAGGGTCAGAGGGGTGCCACACTTGTTCAAAGTCGCAGGCCAGGCGGTGGGGGAGCGGGGGTTTGAATCGGCTGACGGAGCCCGCTTGGGTGACCACTTGGCTGCCAGCCCTGGAGGGTGGAGGGCCTGGAGGAGGGGCCGACCCGCCTTGGGCGGTGACCTAGGCTGGCGAATGCCGCGCAGCAGGTCTGGCAATGCAGCCGCGGGAGAGTGGTTGAGGGTTAGTGGTCGCGGGGACCGATGACAAGAAACCGCTGCGGGTGGGGTGGGGTGCCGGCACCGGACGGGGTAGGGTGGGGTCACCGCGGAGGTTGGGACGGGCGGGGTGTCGGGTGGACGAAGGGGGCGCCTGGGGAGCCGCAGCCGCGTGCGCGCACGGCCGGGCCGGTCGTCCTCGGTCGGGGTCGAGGGAGGAGGCGGGCAGCCCTCGGGACATCTCGGGGCTCCCCCCGTGTGGACGGGGCCGTCCGGGACAGGGTAGTCTCTGGGCGCCGGGTGGGCAGGGTGGGAGAGGCGGCGCGGCCCCGGGAGGGACCCCGCCCGGGCAAATAAAGGGGCCTGCGCTTTGGGTCTAGGCGTCAGGTCCTCTCTCCCGCGCGTCCCACCACCCTGCGCGGCTCGGGGCGAGGCGGGGCCCGCCGTGCGCGTCCGTTCGAATCATTTGCATCTCTTTGCACCGTCGTCCACCCGCGGGTCACCCCGATCCCAAAAGTCAAAGACGGGCAAGTACAGGGACGTACCAGACGCTGCCCGGCTGGGGAACTGGGCAGGGATCAGGACGGGGTGGGGGGTACGAGGGCGGGGCGGGGCTTACCCGGAGGTGAGGCGTCCTGGGGCGGGGC